ATATATACTCTCTATGAACATTCTGTTTCTGGTTGCTTTATACTCGTTGTACGTGCTTTCACTTTCATTTGAATTTCTTATTAACAATATCTCCGGCGTCACAAGTATTAACGTACAAATTTTCCTTACACATTCTACAGAATACGTGAATTTTTGGATCTTTGGACTTTCTGCAAATGTATAGAAAAATCCGCAAATTTTCCTTCTACCGAGGCAAAGCTTAGTTTTGCATGTACTATTTATTAACAATTTGAAGCATCTACCAACAATTGAAACAACACATTAAGTAAAATGACATAGCATTGGAAATAATCATTCAAATGGTATTTAACGAAATTTTGTTCAATATACATGACAAGTATAATACATACAGCGGTTAATTAACACATAATCTTAATCTTAATTAATATTTTTTAAACCTTCGTAAGAAGCAATGAGAAGTCAATGAGTGTCAATTGACTCAGGATTGTCTTCAGAAATTTCGTCTTTCTGAAATTCTTTTGTTCTTCTTACGTCATTATTATAGTTTTCACTCTAGGTGTCTGTTCAAATGTTATAGTACGTCCCATCATAGAAGACCAAATGTATACATTTGTTATAATTATCAGCAAATTATAAAAAGAGTAAGTCAGCTAGATTTATGTTATGTCGAGTGCAAAGAGTTAATAATATTCGGGTTTTGTTGGGAAGCATAGGGAACCTGGGTTAAATAATGAGGAGTTAATTGTGTCTTACGAATTGTGAGAATGAGCAAACTTAAAAAGACTTTTAACTTGGCGTTGAAATTTAAAATTCTTTATTATATCTACAAACTCGCTACCTCAACTCATTAACAGTCTGACTTGTAACACGAAATTCTGTCTAGTATTAACATGGATCATCAGGTATGGTTTCCAATTATATCTTTAGACATGTATGTTTAAAAGTTATAATTTGAACTGGGAAACGAACCTAAATGTAAAGTAATCGAAGGAGACCAAATAATAATAATATCTACTATTAGTTTAAAAAAAAAAACAAACGTGTTACTTCTTCACGTTAATTTCAACAATTATGCACTCTGCAGTAACTTATAACTAAGCAGACTATTGTTCTATCGAGCAAAGTACGGACAATCGCGTCGAGATGAACGTGTTAAACAACTCGTTTCCCCGATTCACTGAAATTTAAAGTCCCAATCCGCAGCTAAAACTCAAGAGTCTATCTTTGCGAAACACCAAAGTTCCAAGACTGTAAAACTTTTGAAATTCTGTCGACTCATTAACAATCCTGACATGTAACTCGCAGGAGTCGAGTGTCAATTCTCCCTCGATCTCGTCAATTTCGCCACGTCGTCTCAAGCTGTCTTCAGCTTTCAACGCGGCGCGAATCAAACAAAATCGCAGAACAGGTCAATATCTAATCGACGTAATTGCTCGGCTATTTTGAAGATTTGCTCCCCCGGACGCAGCAGCAGCGACTTGACGACGTCCCCTCGGGCATGAAGTCGCACGAGCTGTGGGAGCGAAGCATCGCCTTCATCGAGCAGGAATTGCTGCCGGAGATGGTGCACGATCGTTGCTTCTGCGAGCCGAGTTCCAGGGAGTTTGTCGAATTCGACTCGGCCACGATCCGGCTCGACGAGCTGAGCCGAAGCAGCGAGATCTACCGCGTCAACATCGTGGTCAGATTCTCCGGGGAGCCAAGCAGTTTCCCTCTGCTTGTGAAGCTGCTGCCCGAGGAGGGGGCCGAGCACAAGTCACCGACAGCGTTCGACGCCTACCAAAACGAGGAGATGTTCTACTCGAAGATGACGCGGAGCTACGGCACTGATTTGGTCCCGAAGTGCTACCTGTCGGACCTCGGCCGCTACGGCAGGCCGGTGATCGTTCTCGAGGACCTGGAGGAGGCCGGTTACGCGCAGGTGGACGGCGAGTTGGACGAGGATCACTTGAAACTGTGCGTGCAAGTCCTCGCCAAGTTTCACGCCAGGGGGTTGCGACTGAGGGCGACCGAACCGCAGATCTTCCGAGAATTCGAGGCGAAACTGCTGGAGATCTCGCTCACCGACCAGGCCATGTCACATTACGAGAAACGATCGACCAGGTAAGCTTCTTTGTTCTTTGTTCCTTGTCCATCGGACGATTAAAACGGACCGGCGAGGTACGATGAAATTTCGGGGAATTTATAGACGCGAGAGTGCACGCTTCATACAGGGTGGTCCATTTAAGTCACCTAAATATCTTTTCGAAATCATGATGATGGAAAAAGTACTCTTTTGCCTAACATGAATGGTATCGTAAGGCCAATAACTGGTAAGAATATTTTCTTCAATCATCACATAATTATATATCTGTGTAGCTGACAAAAAAAAAAAATATGTCGAAAATTTGAGTTTTACGTATAAATTTGCCTCTATCGCGGATCACAGAAAAATTTACTATTTATTACGTTATCAATTTCTTCTAGTAGCTTGAAATCCTGAGTGTATCGAAATTTGTAAGTAATTCATAATAGAATATGCGAGAAAAGATCGACGTGAGTGTTTGAGAGAAGCAGTGAAGTATTTAATTTAAATTATAGCACTAAACACTTGCAGCACGTGAGACAATTCTTTACCTGGGTTCCAGTTTCTCCATTTCATTTATAAAAATTTCTAATACAACGATTACGACAAAGTTGTACATAAATGCTCGTACTGTTGAGATTATTACCCAGAACTTGGACACGCGCGTCGACAAAGAATGGAAATGTTCAATTGTCCAAAGATGTCTCGTTCAAAAGTTAGACTGCTTATCTTCACTCTGTGAAAGCAGAAAACACTTGAATTTCGAAGAATCGTACGATCCGATAAGACTCGATTATTCATAGTTGATGCTATCGCGCAGATATCTATCATTTAATAACAGATATGCAACGATATGTGTATATGTACGCAAAATAAATGTCTTTGATTCTAGTTAAGCATTACTAATTGCAATTAAGGGTTAAATAAAAAGCAGTATAGGATAGGATATATCCTCTAATATTGTAGAAATGGTACGCTATAATTATTTTTTTCTAAACTGTGAAACAAATAAAGGCGTCAAGCGTAGGAGAAAATTTTATGTAACGTGTTATTAATTATTACGTTATAAAAGTGAAATTGGACCTCGATACGTAAGAAATTCCACGATCCAACAATGCTTTTTGTTCCAAATGTGCATTGCAATTTAATTTTCTAACAGAGTCAACTACTCCTGAAACCACATTATCATTTATTACTATACCTCCAGCGTACCTCTTTACGAGACAATTTATGCACCGTGTGTTCGAAAAGCGTACCCATCTAACGAATATGTACACGTTCGTGAAACGCGCGATACATATAAGCGAGTGAGAAGTGTGAGGAACAGTGCTCGAGAGGGAAGTTCTCAGTGAGAAATCTAGCGAGAAGCTTTCGGCAACCGGAGTTCACGAAAACTTTCAACGATAGATTAGAATTCAGCGATCCCTTTTCAACGTATACAGTACAAAAGCACTTCATTCATACCTTGTGATAATATTTTGGAACTTTAATATTTCAAATAATCGCGAGTTGCTGATTAACTCGCTTCAACTGAATTAAAAAGTAGGGAACGTGAACGTTGTTTGAAATTCACTTACTGATAGAAAAGCGTCAAATACGACATTACAAAAGAATACAAAATGATTGAAAATTACGGTTGTAATTCCTTTCGAAAGATGAACACGCTTGGAGGAAAGCGGGTTGCACACGATTGAAACATTCGCGAGATTGATCGAGCCTAGTGAAACGACACGAACGAAAATGTTCAGAAAATCTAGTAAAAATGCAACGATCTAAATATATCCCCGCGTGATTAAGTGTGTGAAATCATTATCGACGAGTCGATTGTAACATATTTCATCGAATACCGGACGTTTGGTCGCAGCCGCAAATTTTCTAACAAACTGGCAATTAATTGATCCACGTCAATCTCTTGATCACTCGAGACTCGATCAATTTTGGATTCTATCCGCTTCAATTGCGTGTCGATTATTGCATTCACACGGGACTATTGCTACTGACAACAATAACGTCAATATTATCGGTCAGGATGCTCGAAAACGAACGAAAACTATTGGCACGTTTGGTACATACGTGATTCCCTTATAATTTTATTAGATTCGGACGAAATCAATCTTTAATTAGTATCACAAACAGAAATCCGCTCGACAGGGATTCAAATTGAATTAATAATCGTATTTAGTTGATAATTTTAATTGCAGAAGAAAAAGAAAAAAAAAAGCAATTGGAATAGGAATCGTGGAAGATGCGTAGCAGGTGACAATTTTATTAGGCGTGCCAACTCTTAATTAGTATCGCGAGCAAAAATCCAGCAGAAAAAAATTTTAATTAAAATGGTACTGGTGAAAGACGCGTAATTAGTTGGATAATTTTCCTTCGAAAACGAAGTCTTCCACGATTGTTACTATCACTTCAAACTAACGAATCCAATATATTTTATAAAAGAAAATCCAATATATTTTATACAGGATACATTCCTACTGAAATACTTGAAAAATGAAAAAACTCTCGTCAGCCACTTTATACGTATATGTAACTTCGTAATACCAATACGTAACTTCATACACGTATATATGTACATATAGCTTCGCTTTTCAAATTTTTAAAGTAAACTAGATGAGCAATAAATGAAATAGTATACTTACTAATAACACTGATAATAAAGTGTACTTACTAATAATGATATTTTCAGATAATCTTTATCTCATTCAACTAAGCGAGTAATAAGTTACAGTGGTTCAAAAAAGTATTGGCACTTCTAGGTTTCTTGATCGTTACCTTTATGAGAACAAATGATATATTAGCAAACTCTGTTTCCATAGCAACATTTTCTAATCATGAGTTACAGAATAATAATAATGAAAAAGAATGGCAGAATGTGACAAAACATCCTTCTGTAAGTACTGGAATGTTATCGAGTGTTAACGAAGGACGCTTGTCTATAAAATACTTCGATATTTCAAATATTTCATATTCTGCGAAGATAAATCCCTCACGTATCAATAGCTTTTTGATTCTCTCGCATCAACTTGCATTATTATTGTACAACACATTATTGGAGATTGCTATGCCATTGTGTAGCGAACTTTTTATATTTGTGGAAACAGATTTTGCTGATGCACCATTTCTCTTCATAAAGGTATCGCAAGAAGGAAACTAGGCGTGCCGACACATTTCCCCATCCGTAAATAAACAATAAACAGACGAAATAAACAGCGGGGATTAATTCAGATTCGCATGTGTGAAACAATTACAGAATGCTGGACATCCTGGAATCGATGCCGAACTCGGGCTTCGCGGAGAGGATAAAACAGAGATTAAACAAGAGACCGATGGAAATAGTGAAAGGCATCGCGACGGAGGTGAACGACGTTTCAACAATATGCCACGGTCATTTTTCACACGATAATCTGCTGTTCAAATACCAGAACGGGAAACCGATCGACGCGAAGGTGATCGACTGGCAAACAATGAGATATTGTTCGCCGGCTGTCGATCTCGGGCCTATTCTACTGTATAACGTGACGCATGAAAACGGGCCGTCGGAGGTGCAGAAAATTTTGACGTTGTACATCGACACCGTCCGATCTGAATATCCAGAGATAGACGGCGAACGTCTGAGGGAAGACATTGTCGGCAAGTTCCTGTTCGCCTGCGTCGTTTTATCCTTTCTCGATCACATCACCGACGACGAACTTACTCGAGTTCTGCTGTTGTTGGAACAGTTGGACGATTTCGATTAAACGGAGGAACACGTATACGTTATAGTTTCGCCGTTTGCCGAGATATCTATCCAGCCACCGGTTTCTGCGAGAAATTTTATTATTAATTTCATTTGTTGTTGACGGATTGTGGATCTCTCACGCAAGTTAGTACATTCGAAAAATATCTAGAACCAGAGAATTTATTGCTAGATACCGGGGATTTTTCTTTCAGGATACAACTGGAAAGAATGGAATCTCGCGAGAAATTTGTTTCACCTCACCAAACATCATTGAATGATTGTCCAATTTGCACAATCCAATGTTGTCAACGTGTAAAGTAAAATCTATCTATGTGTTTGTAGGAAATTTTAAGCCTACAAACACTTGGCACTTGCTACGCGAAATAATCTTCTGTCCGAGATTCTGCGTTTCTTAATTATACTCGTAAAAGTGAAAATTTGCAGAAAAATCTGCAGTTTAATTATAACACACCTATGGTAGGATGAAACAAATTTCTATTTCTATTTTCATTTTCTTTGGTTACATCAAAATTTAAAAACGCACGAAAACCTGCAATCTGATAATTAGGCATTTATATGAATTTAATAGGCTATGAATTTATAACACGTACGAAACAGGTATTGCATTTTTAATTCGGAGTTTCACTCCGCTAAGAAAAATAATACTATCTTTTTACGACATTACTTAGAACATTGGAAACTTATATTCTCTGTCGAATTAATTTTTTTCTGTTAATTAATTATTAAAAAAAAGCGAGACGATATTTTTGCGCAGTTTATTACATCCATGAATAAGCTACTATGTGTACTGAAGCAAAAGTCTTTCATCATCTTGGTTACTGATTTTATAATGGTAACTAAATATACTCGTGAGAGAATTTTCACACACTGTTATATAAAAACGAACAAACGAAGGCGTGGACTAATTTTATTAAAGATCAAAAAGCTACGAATAAAAGTATCTCTCGCTTTAGTACAAAAAAATTTAATTATGTGAATTACTTATATTATGTTAATTTTTTCTATTTTAACCGCGTCATATTTTCTCTCTCTCCCTCTCTCTCTCTTTTTTAATAAGATGATGAATTGCTTTACAAATATATTTTGTAAGAAATACTTTAGAATATTTCTGGACGGCTAGTAAAATTCATTTCTTTTTCCAATTTAATATTGTAAGAATCACAATTTTAGACTAATAAATAATGACGACATATTTTTTATACATTATCAGCATCGACAACGCGGAAATCAATATCTGTAAAATCACTGAACCATTGATTCTGGTAGTAATAATTTTTAGATAGCAGAATTGTAAAATTATTAATTTGCATTAATTCTCGTTTCGCATCGATCTCATAATTTATCATAATTTACGTTCAGGATCTTTGAAATTCAGTTTCGACTTTATTACAATTTTCATGCCAATTCTCTGTTTCTCTGATACATGTATTTTTATTCTGTTTTATAGAGACAATAAATCGATGATTAATTTTGAATTTTGTGTCGTTTCTTTATCATCTTTCATTAATTATAATTGTGGGAATTTAAGAATTAAGAAAATTATTATCCTAACATAGTTTACCAATTGAAGCCCTTAATTGACAAGTGAATCGAGTTTTCTTTTTCGATTTCGATTACAAATTACAGAATGTAGCTTCACCGATAGAAAGGAAATAAAATGAAAGAATAATAATTAAGACAATTTAAAAAAAGTAACTTAATGTAAAAATTAATTCTTAAGAGAAAAAAAAATATACACAAGTTATTCTATTAAATTCATTTTCCCTAATTTTAGACCTACGCCAGTCATCCGTCAAAGTTTTTTCTACTTTCCAGAAAATCAAAAGCGTTCCATCCAAAATAATGCGAAGATTTATTCCAGCGATGGTACGTTGCATTTACACGACAAATTTTTTACGCTTCACCGGAGGCTGGATACTTTGTTATTACTTTTATTAGACGAGAATCTCCATTTTTTGACGGTGGTAATATTTAATAAAAAAAAAAAGAAGAAAAAAAAAATCGCGAATCCAGGTCTTTAACATGGCGGCCGCCACCTCCAAATGGCTTTGACGATGCGTTCGAATGCGTTTCGAGTCATTGAATCTGATTTTTCCCAGCACGTATGACCAAACGATGCTTTGACTCCTCCCTTTTCATCGATGCGGCAAGATTAAAATGTGGATCACAGGCATCACCACCATCATATCACTCTTTCTCTCTTCTCGTCCCTGTTCCTCTTGCACTCTCTGCATGCACTCCATCTAGCCACAGCTGTTACGACATACGGAACCGTATCGGCGTTGTTCTGTGAAATGTAACATTACTTTCGCCCCGAATAATGTTGCGGATGAAAAATGTACTTCGACCTCGCTCTGTTTCGGACACGGATTTATGTACATACACCGAGTACCACGCTTGCCACATTTGTTATCCGGGATCAAACGTTCCGTTTCCTTTTTTTTATTTTTCTTTTCTCCTTTCTTTCTTTTTCTTTTTTTTTTTTTTTTCTCCTTCCACCTCTTGCCTTTCATGAGTCGCTTCGAACTTACGTCCTACGGCACTGTCGATCGATAACGGATGCATCGCGATCGTTCGCGAATCGAGCCCAATCTGTCTCGTGTTCAGCTTGTCGGCCAGATTTCTAGACGTTTCTGCTGAAATTAAAAATTCCAGCAACGCGTGGAATACATGTAATATGGAAAAAGATACATTAAGCATGTTATACATTATGAC